GAAAAATACATAAAAATATTGAGAAAGTTATATAAAACATTATTTAAATATCTTTATCAACAGGGTAGGTTAGGTTAGGTTACGTTAAGTTATCGGGTTCTGTTCAAGTGACCACCCTCTTTCGATCCCCCACCTCCATCCGCTTGAAAATGTTTTTTTTATTGAATTTTATTTGAATTATAGTGTATGAAAATTGTCAAAATAATCAACTTTCAACCCCCATAACTTTTTATGGGGGTGAGACCACCACAAATTTTTTATGGGGTTTTACTCAGGTGACCACCCTCTTTCGATCCCACCTACCCCCACCCCTTAGGGGCCATCATCTAACCCACATAACTTTTTATGGGGGTAAGACCGCCACGAACTTTTTATGGTACAGTGGTAGGGGAGACCTCCTCTTTCGATCCCACCCATCATCTAGATCTATAGACCCATACATATTTAATCCTTGATATTACTTTTTAAAAGACTTTTATACACACATTCCAATAAATCCTTTATAATAAAAAATAATAACGTTATCATCATCATAGGTTCGTCAGTCTGTTTGTACACGCACCTTTATTATTTCCTATCCTGAGGTAATCCTCGCATTTCCCTAAAACTAGAATTTCCCACGTCTCTTTACTCCTGTTTCTGCCTTTAATATATTTCTAACTAGCCCTTTCATGTCACTTTCCATTGTGGAAATTAATTTCATTTATTTATTTCAGGACAACGTGTGAAGCAATAGGGGAATATGCAGGACAAAAAGGGGCTGATGAACATTGTATGGACCAATGTATCGTCTATCCCCCCAAATGTCCCTCGTCATGTCGATGTCGCGATGAAGGTAAAAGTTAGAAGCAAATAGCAGAAAAAATAAGAATTATTGAAATTAAATTCGGCTGTTCGATAATATTTAATTAATATTGCGGACAATGAGATTTCTGTCCCATTTGGTAAACATTTCGTACAAAAAATAAATTAAGGATTTTTGATAAAAGTTGTTTCTATTTTGAGTGAACCTACCCCATATGTCTGCTTTAATGTAAGAAATAATTTGTTACAAGCTGTAAATGTCACGTAATACGAGGATGGATTGATAAGTTTCCGGCCTGACCAAGAAAAACAAGGTTTTTAAAAATTTTTTTTTTTTAATAATAATAATAAAAGCAAGGAGTCATTTAACATTTCTCATAGCGGTGTTCCAGTCTATTAATGCCATCTCTATAGACTGATTCGTCAAGCTCCTCAAAATAACCATTTACAGCTTCGATTACTTCTTCATTGTCCGCAAATCTCTTACCGCCAAGCCATTTTTTGAGATTAGGGAACAGAAAATAGT